TTGATAAAATATTTAGAATTTTATTTGGTATAAAAGTGTGATTAAAAAAAAAAAAAAAAACCACATTTTATAAAGTATAACATAATGCATATAATTGCATATTTAGCCACTTTTTCTTTGCATATTTGCATCATATTTGACACTTTTTAAATGCATATAAATCTTATATACTATACGTATTATCTGAAAAAAAATCATCTGAAATAAAAATTAAGTAAATAAGTACAAGGTACCATATAATGTGTATAATATTATTATTTATTTTATTCATTAGACTTATAAAATATCTGTGGAGCATGAAATTAACCTCGAAAATTTAATATCGATAATCCAAGAATGTCAGTCTCTTTATGATTACAAAAACAAAATTTATTTTCTTCCTGTTCAATTTCTTTTAAAAGAAACAATAAAATAGGAATAGCAACGTCCTCCTCGTCAGGTTATACTGGACGACTGGTTTTACTTTGATTTGACTAACTATGTTTTATCTAGTATGCAATCATAATAATGCTTTATTTTGACTTAAAGCAAAATTACTAAACATGACTTAAATTCCTTCAGTCAATTTTGCTTTACCAGTGTACGCTCGGCCTTAGGTGACGGAGTTTTTCCTAAGCCACGCTACGTCTTGACGTGCGAAAAATTGCAAGCGTCTTTTCGTAACGAGTTATTGTCGGTAATAACTGATAATCGATCTATAGTCGATCACGCTTGACGTCATATAGGCATTTTCCGTTAAGCTTTATCTTATGAAAAATCTCCCCGACCGGAGTACGAATATTAAGTTGGCGGCCAATGAGGAAAAATCCCATGTTTGTAATAACAACTTTCTAAGGTTAACAAGTAACCACAAATATATGCATCACTAAGAAACGATGTATTAACAATAACAATATAACAAGTACGTGTACAGTAACAATATAAAAATTATATAGCTATGGTTTTATTGTGTTTCGCAAGTTTTCGACTTCAGAGTAATGACGTCGAAAATACGTACACGTCCATCAAAATACAGTCATTAAACATGTACGCATCGTTACTCGGCATTCGGACTTTAATTAGTCGCATATGAGCACAAAAACGCATACTTTAGAGACATCGGCTGACTCATTCAGTGCGGACCGGGACTTTGTTTTAAAAGCAGCTCCAAAACCATTGTTTAACCTATTACACTATTTTAACATTTATGTCATAACACCTCACATTTTTTCAGTTGAATCTTCAAAACACGAACAAATAATACAACACATAGGTACATACGTGGAAACAATCATTTATTGACTTATTTATTAAGGAATTATTATTTTATGCAAAATTCCAAGTGGTAAATGAAGTTTTAATAAATATTCTTGGTGCGACAAATGACGTAATATTGGTCATTATTGAAAATGTTTCATTTGTAATTCGAAGATTTTAAAGAGAGCAAAATTTTTGTTGTATTATAAAAACTGCAATAAAATGTTATTAAAACCGAACGCGCCAACCCCACAATTCGACCTTTGGCCAGTCCTTTGGAAAATTTCCCGATATGCCAGTCCGCCCCTGCCTGCAGATCGGCGGAAGCGTTACGATTATTACGGCAAGTATAGGTTTTAATGATTTTTTTTTCCCATGACAACGCGAGGCGGTATCGTCACCCTCGGACCATAAAAGGAAAACATATCACGTAGGATTTTTGATGTGCTGACGGTCCGTCGGTCGCATTTATTTGTTTATTTATTTTCAAACGAAACCCTGCGAGTCTCGAGCGATACATTAACACGTCCCATGCACATGCGTTTGACGATAAAAATTGAATCGTGCAAAAAACAAAAAAATAAAAAAATCCAAACTCCTCGTGATACGTAACCCTCGTGACCCTGTAATGCAGCAAACAGCTTTCAGCGAACTTCCGACTGGAACTCGTGACTTGACGAGATAACGCAATTACGAGAACCGTCGGCAAATGTGCTAGCGGTGCATTAGTTTGCAGTCAAAGTTGATTAACGTTCACGTCGAGTTTTAACCCAATAAGCGACATCGTCGCGATTAATTCGCATCCCGGTCGCAGTGCATTAAGCTCGCTCGAGCTCGAACGGGTGCCAGACCGCGACCGCGGAAATCTAAGTCGCTGTGTCGATGTCGAAACTCACCCATGTACTTCAAACCCAAGTGCGTACAGTGTTCGAAGCGGTGTTTTCGTTGATCCGCTCACCGCTGTACTACGTATTGAACACGTACAGGGATCAAAGGGTTCGGACGAGAGAGCTTGCAGCGTTTTGCCAACACTCCGAACACAAGCCAGCTAAATACGTCTCCAGACGAATGACCGTGACAAAAACATAAACTACCTACATCAAAATATTCTTTATGGTTACGCATAAAAAAAAAAAAATTAGATTATTATGGGAAAAAAAAATAAATTATAATAATTTTTATTTATATTTCCCGTAATAATTAATGGGGGAAAAAAATACAATTAAGTGTGTTGTTTTCAAACTGTCGATTATTTCAACCGAAACATATCTATCTTTTGTCAATCATACCGATCGACGGAATAACGTGATAAGACTTTTTTAAAAACTGTTTTAAATTCTATATTATGTGTACTTGAGATCGATAAGTCCAATTTTTCTAATACTGATCGGTAAATTCCACAAATTTGATATGAACATTTTTATAATTTAAGAAATTTTAAGTGTTAATTGATCAAAATTGAATTTAAAAACTTTAACTGTGATTCAGTCAATCTCGTGTAGACAAAATGACGAATTCAAATCACTTACTAGAAATCTTGTTATTTGAAATTACTAGGTTGATTACCAGTGGAATTGGCAAAAAGTACACACAAATGATACATGCATTGTTGACCGTTCCATTTTTTCGTGTGTAATGACTTGTTTTGACGCAATTTTTTCAGGAATGACTTGTATGTACATTTCGACGAATTTTTCGCAATCGAAGTATTTATGTACAACTGATAGGTACATATTGTATTATATTATATCGGATTTTTTTCGTATACCTACTTATAAATTATATTATTCTATAAGTTTATATTTTATACAATTTACTCAATTCGAAATTTCACTCCGGGCTCTAATGACTATATAGGCGTAACAAAACTATGTAAGGGATTAATTAATCTCCCGAATATTTATCTGTCCATCACATAATAGATAAATATACAAATTAAAAATTAAGAGTCAAAGTACCAAAGTTACCAAAGTAGTATAAAAAAAAAAAAATGAATTAGCCTTTCAAAAATAAAACTCTACTTGTGCATATGAACGACTGGCGGTAGTATATTATTCTATATATTCATATTTAATACAATTATTATCTACAGTATTCAACAATTTTATTACTATTACAAAATGGAATTACAGTTGTCACAGTTTTTCATGTTGCTAGAATTAATCAATCCGCAATCGTATAAAATTTAATCTTCTTTTCTAATAAAGATGTTTTGTTTTATTTGTTATAATTTATTTACCAACTTTTGCTATTACCTCGGCACATTATTATATTATATTTATTTCTACATAAAAAAAAAAAATGAATATCTTACATTATTGTAGATGCACCAAAGAATTTGTTATCGTCGCTGAATAAACCCGTATCATGATTTATCACAATTAAGTTGATAATCTGAAATTATTTGGTAATTGAGTATTCGGAATCGAGTCGTTATCGTCGGTCCTCCCACCAGGATCGACGAGAAGGTGGGGCAGTGAGGACTAGAGCTCCGTGGCCCGTAACCCCAAGAGGACTCGTCGTCTTGGCATTTTATACAAAATTATTTTATAATCTCATTCGCCATAGCATGATGAGATGCAAATCTTAATATTTCAATTGAACGAAAATTTCTCGGCCGAACAAGTGTAAGTAAAGGGGACCTGGGATCTATCAACCTCGAGAACCTCAAAAGTTCTTGCCGGCTCTGCGCCTCGCTAAACTAATAATCAATTACTATGCTAACATGTGTACACGCATGCCCTAATGTTGTTACCTATACTGAACCCCTTAAAAACGGTCCGTTCGCAAAGCCCTTAAAATGTCCAGACGTTTATTGAATGGAAACCAACGGCAAGTATGTTTGTACATAAAAAAAAAAATCTATTTGATTATTAAAAGAAAAATGTTATTGTTTAGTTGTTCCAGACGCCATGATAGGGCGCGAGTTGAGAAATAAAAAAAAAAACATTTTTAAAAGCGCCTGAAAAAATGTACGCATAGGCAACTTAAGCATCGTTATTATAATGCCATTGCAACAGCTCTGTTCCAGTAGTGCATGTTTAAACATTTACTCCCCTCTGAACACCAGTTAAGTGAGCTATATTGTACGTCAAATTCACAGCGCGCGTATATTTTCACTGTCAAGTTTCTGAACAAAAGACAAACAATAGCCATCGAAAAACGTTAAAATCCATTAAGCGATCAAATTAGTAACTACTATAAAATTGTAATCAATTCATACACTTATTTATATATGAACAACACCACACACATTGTAATTTTCCACAATAATTAATAAATCTTTAACACAATTTTTTTTCATCAGACTTATACTATATAACTGTATTTGCTTTGGAAGTTATATACTACTATATATATATATATATATATATATATAGTATATTTTATCAATGATGGTAGTGTATATATATATATATATTATATATTTGTATATTTAAGACTTTTTGATCCATAAAATGAATTCCGTATTATTTCAACTTCTTGATATTTCTCAGAACATCAGTGAGTGAAACAAGGTCCAAGTCAAGTGAGGTTCAGCTTTAGTGTTTGTTTTTTGCAATTATTATTAAATGTTCAATAATAGAGTTAACTACCATGAATTATTTTTATAAAGATTTTCATCTTTCATAAACTATTTATAACAAATATATATTAAAAGGTTCATTTAAAGGAAATATAAAAATAAAATTTGTATAATTGCATAATTTAAAAAGATATTTTATTGAATCCAAACACAAAGAATTAAAATAATTATAAACACATTAAGAGTATAATTGTTCGGGTATTCCATCTTTTTTACGATACAAAATTGTACCCCATGCTTTCTTAAAATCCTCTGAAATTACTTTCATTCGACGCTCACGGAGAGCCAATAATCCTGCTTCAGTACAAATAGCCTGTAAAAAAAATTGTTATACAACAACAGAAGTATTTTGATGTAAATATTAACTTGAATTTAAGCATAATTAACACAGATTATAAATTAATATAATAAAAAAATAATAATACAGTAACATTTTAAAGAAACATTTATGTTTACCTTAATATCAGCACCAGAAATATCATCCTTAGCTGAAATAAGTTCCTTTATATCAATGTCTTCAGATAATGTCATTTTAGATGAATGTATATTAAATATACGAAGTTTTGTTTCATCATTAGGTATTGGAAATTCAATCTTACGGTCAATACGTCCAGGACGTATCAAAGCTGGATCCAAAGATTCAATACGATTTGTAGCCATGATCACCTTAAAAATGAAAACAATTTAATTAAGGAATTCAAGCTATTAAATAATATAATAGTATACCTTAATATCATTATTATCATCAAAACCATCCAACTGATTCAAAAGTTCCAACATGGTACGCTGAATTTCACGTTGACCACCAGAATTTGAATTATAGCGTTTAGTGCCGATTGAATCAATTTCATCAATAAAAATAATGGATGGCGCATGCTCTTCAGCTAAACGGAACAGTTGTCTTACTAATTTAGGACCATCTCCCTAAGAATTTATAATAAATTATGAATTTTTATAAATTATAGATATTTAATAGTTTATGTATAACATACCAAATACTTTTGGATTAGTTCAGATCCAACAACTCTCAAGAATGTTGCAGATGTCTGGCGTGCAACAGCTTTAGCTAAAAGCGTTTTTCCTGTTCCTGGCGGTCCATATAGAATAACACCTTTGGGAGGCTTAACACCCATTTCTTCATATAATTCAGGATGAGTAAGAGGCAACTCAACAGCTTCTTTTATTTCTTGTATTTGTGTTTCTAAGCCGCCAATGTCACCATAAGTTTCTTGAGGTGCTTTTACAAGCTTCATGACAGACACCAAAGGATCCACATCATCTGTCAGCGCTCCAACCACTGAATGATTCTATTATACCAAAATATATTTACAATAAAGTTAAAAATTAATGTATATGTTATAAATAATTTAATTTACTTTGTGATGTAGTAGCAGAGTGCAACCGGGTATTAACAATTCTTTGTTAACAAATGACATTACGTTAACATAATAATCACTGCTGACAGATGATGATACAATAGCATGATCTTCATTAATTAACTCTTTCAATACACCAACATCCATTGGAGTACCACGTATCTCTTCAATTTTTAAAAGATCTGTCTAAAAATTATAAACAAAAAATTTGATATAAAAATCCTGATTTTTACTGTATAATGTATATTATAAATAAATAAAATGCATGAGATTTATTGAGATTAAATTTCATGTAAATACAACATTAACAAACACAAGAAGAAGTTACTAATATAATAATAATAATAATAATAATAATAATAATAATAATACTAGTATGGATAATTTGACTTAAATGAATTATTTAATCATTTGAATCTCAAAAATGTCATGAAATAAGTGGTTTGTAGTAGCAACGTATAATGTAGTATAATAAATATAATATAAATAATGTAATATATACCTCATCTTCTTCTTCTTGGGACTTTAATCTACCACAGTTTACAATGAACTCTTCTTCCATCAACAGATAGTCCTTAATACGTTCCAGTTTCAACAACTTCAAACGGCAATTCTTGTCCGGTTTAACTGCGAGATGATACATGATTGATGATTTATATCGAATCGGATTTTATAAGGCATTACGACGTATTATACGTACTAATCGGTAGTTTAGAAGCCGCGTCCGGACCCTTGAAGATCTTTTTGCGGGACACCGGTTTCGGAATGATCGGCTCGAACTGTTTCTTAGGCTGCTGCTTCTTCTCTTCATTCTCATCGCTTGACTGGCTTTGGCCCTAGACAAAAAACAATAAAATTTGAAAAACAAAGCAACGGGTAAACAACAGATACCGACCATTTTGACGGAGCGAAGCTAACTGACAACGTCGAACGGCCGCGCTAAACGAACGGTTACACACGGATATCACAAGACGGACGAGAAGATCGCGGAGAGCACCGAGAACGAACGAGACAAGTGCGCACGCCGAGTGAACCGTCAGCCAACTGACATCAAAACACCGTCGTCCGCGAGAGGGCCTCGGCTCGTTGGGGTTGCTGCGCGGCTGCGGCAGCGGCGGCGACAGTGCACCCCCACCCCACTATTGCCAAATACGAAGAAATCCCGGCGAACAGGTACACCGGTTTCCGCAGTAACCGATGACGGCGGAGCACCGTTGCCAACATAACCGCCGGGGCGCTGTCGGAACGCGTGCCGCCGTGACGCTGTCGAACAACTGTCGCCGAGCGGACGGACTTAACCCTCCCTCTCGGCCCCGTCGCCGTTGAGTTCGACGCAGATGAGGGGTTGTGAATTACGCGGCGGCGTTACGAATCCCTTCGGGGATGCTGCTAGCCGTCCAACGCATCGCACACGCGTACGTACCCGCGTCTATTGTCCGGTGATTTTCGAGCCCCGGGGACACACTTTGTGCGGGGCGTAATCCGTGATGCCAAACGCGGTACATCACGACGCTAGCAGTCCACACCGTTTTGATCGATTGACTGGCGTGGGGGATTTGAGGCGAAAACTGCTCGGGTGGCCGCACCAATAAAACACCGCACCGCGAACGTCATAAAAACAACAACGTCAAGACCCGAACCGCACGGTTCAAAAATAGTCGTGAACACGCGGATTTGCAACACGAATATTCGTTATTTATTTCAGTCGCGTAGATTACCTGATAGTTTTTTTTTTTTTTTTTTCAAAAAAAATTGTAATGTAATTGTTTCATATTATCTCGTTGAAAAATGTTCGTGGCCAGGTCGTTTTGATTTTTGCCGTTGAAAAGAGAGTTTTGTACAGGAAATTTATAAATTTAATACCGACTTATTTCGATTCGAATCACTGACGCGCAACAGGGCTTGGAACGGTTAACGTTACCATGTCATATCTATGTTTAGTCGTTTTGCATTTTATTAACGGCAGTCGTGGATTTAGGCAACAAGTAAGGGATATCGTGACGACGTGTACTGTTGTAAATGTTTTGTTCTGCAACCACGGAATCCCATTCGGTATTAAATTATGTTTATTACTTTTGATAAACAATATCTCATAGGTACGACGAAACCCAATTGTATTAGTTACAAATTCTAAAGCTATGAAAAAAATGAATAGTGACCACATAAATCAAACCGAGTGCCTATATTAAGGTGTCCGCACACTGCCGCGGTAGCGGTGGCGATAAAACTGTACACACGTGTTGTAATGGGAATTCGCACGCTGCAGCGGTAATTCGGCTACGGTAAAATATCGCCTCGCGATATTTATAAAAACATGCTCGATTTTATCGCCACCGCGCAGCGGTATTTTCAATTGACATTATTAATTTTTTCCCCAAAATCAATGTTAGTACTTCAAATAAATTTGTATTATTAATTATTATTTTAAATTATTTAATACTATACTCAAACTAACTCTATACTTCTATATTAAGATTATGAAATTATGGACAATATACGAAATTAGAAATTATTTTTTTTTATTCATTATTAACTGACTAACTACTAACTAATTTGTTTTAGTATACTTGTAAGTTAAAACTTCGTATTTAAAATTAAAGTTCGATTATATGGATAATATTGACTTCGATTATTTCCTAGAAACTATTCAAGTGTATTTAAATAATAGGTATAATATATTATATATACATTATAAATATAATAGTAAAAGTACACAACTTAGTACTAACGTACTATATAGATTAATCGTCAATTTATAAAATAATATACTGTATTACATAGGAATAAATTAATTAACTATACAATTATTGTGTGTAATATATAAATATATTATGCTTATACTGGATAAAAAATCGCCAATGCCACCGCAGCAGTGTGTGGGGACCTTTATACGATTTTTCAACCTTGTTAGTATACATTGAATTTAAGATCAGACCATTTTCCCCATATTACGCGAATGACCTGCCCATATTAACCGGTAATAATACAAGTGGTGGAATCCACTGTACCTAAAAAAAATTTGAAAATGTTGTTCGTCGAGCGTTTATTTTTTTTTTTGACAGACAAAAACAAAACTACCCTTATCACTGTTACAGTATCGTCACCTATGGCTGTAATGACACAAAAATAATTAAAAACGGTTTATAATTAAGTTTTTTTTTACTGTAATTTGTAATAATCGTGCTCCAAATATCGGGTCCATAAAATGTCATTAACTTAAGACAATGGAAAGTTGAGTTTCACAATTAACGACGTCCCTTATGGATCGCGTGGGAAAATTAATTATAATGTCGTCTGACGCTTTTATGTCTCGTTTGATATCTCTGTGGAGTGGGGTTACTTTCACATTTAATTTTTTCTTAACCCTTGCAATTGATTTTTTTTTTAAGTCGGATTATACCGCACAATGAACATTCAAACATACAATCGACTATTTAATTACCAGTTTTTCGCAAAACCCTCGGCAATATTAGAATTCGAGGACTCAGTCAATATTCACATGACATTCAATGAATGTCCGTGGCAGGTGAAAACTGTATAATAATAGAATCTTTATACGAAAATAAGCTTCAATTCACCACATACTATTACAGTATATTTTAATAATATCAGTGTTTATTCAAAATAATGCTATTTGCTATGTTCTTCTAACAGTCAGTTTGTTGTAAAAACGTTTTTTTTTATTAGCAAACATTGATATTATCTGAAACATATTTGAATTCTAAGACGTTGCTAAAATATTTGGAAATATTTTTTATTTACACGATATACATTAATACATACGTTAGGCCCTGGGCGAGTGTCCCGTTTACTCTACCCTCGGTACGGCACTGTCTCGATGTACCTGCAAGTGAGCGCCGCATAAAATCATATAAAACACAATTCTTTTGTACGGAACACGACAAACTCTCCACCCCATAAGTTATGTTTTGAATGCGCCACGGGGAATGAAACGATAATGTTTCTACCCTTGGGCGACGGATTTACGACAAGGGGTCGCGTTCGTAATTTACAGACGGATGAACAAAACGTGGTCGCTCCGGCAATATTCTCAATAATAACCTTTATCCATAATATAATATACCCCCACACTCGTGCATAGATAATAATAAAATATTTTTTTCGGAGAATTTCTTAAATATAAATGATATCAGGTCGTACAATTACCTGAATAGAAGGTGCTTACTTATTTATATGATGAATAAGAACTAAATCGTTTGTAATACTTATGTCGCTAATAATACGCGAGTGTCAGGGTCGGCGGAGAGCGTTCTCGTCTTTTGAAATTCCAAACCATTATTGTTAATAGTATGAACAGTATAATATTTGGCCTGCTTTTTTGGTTTCGTGCACTACACACATTTTGGATGCACATAAAAATATATATTTTAAGAGAAAAAAAATGAAACGAAAGTCGGTTTATAAAATTAGTAAATGAGATGATCGATAAAAATGTATGGATTCGGTCACAGTGGCAACATTTTAGTTTTTTCTAGAATAGGGTAGCGGCAAGTTCTTATTAAATTTTCGACTTGGCAGCTCAATTTACCAAACTTCCGATTTACGTGGTGAGAGGAAGACGTCTAACCAGTCAAAAAAGATATCGATTTGTACTTTATACGTGGGTCTTATACGTACTTGTCTATATCCAATGGCTTTATAAAAAATCTATTTATATTTTTATTATGTTCCAATCAGTGGTGTAATCAGGGGAGGAAGTTATTATGGAATACAAATTAAAAGTTATTGCACATTTTATATTTTCATCTTCTTTCCACCTAGAGCACAGGGAAAATTGCAAATAATACCATCAATTGATTTAAAAAAAAACGCATATAAAGCAAATCGATCTTTTTTGGATTAGTTTTTTCATTTCGATTTGAAACGTTTCATAACATCGATTTATTTCCAAGAATCTCTCATCGCTAGTAGGTACTGACAAAGCTATTTCCCACAACTGCAAAGAGGAATAAAACCCGACTTACGAACGAGCTACAGTTTCTGTGTAGTAATAAAATTTAAATATAATATTAAAATATTATATCACATTATTAACAGCCTTTAGTCGGTTTTTCGTGTGCGATTGGCATGGCACGCCAAGCTTGCTATGAGTCTCGAAGGACTGGCGCGTTACACGCCAAGAATGTGCTAAAAAAAGCGACACATACCAGTCCTTCATTATTTCGTTTGGAGCTGCAATAAACAAAGCGTGCCGTGTATATGCTATAACTCACTTTATTCCCGCGTGATTGGTGTGGCACGTGGAATTTTGTAAAAACCAACACTTCAAATCGTTTCCACCGCGGCGCGTCGTTCCGTCTTGTTGTACGTTTACTTTCCTTTACTTAAATTTAAACTATAACCAATATTTATTTTTCAACTATACATGTAAATAAATAATTCTTAAAAATTATGTACAAATTAAAATGAAAGAAAATAGCTATTGCATAATAGCTATTCATTTGTTGACCCAAAATAATAGAAAAAAAATCACAATGGGTTACGAATTGGAAAAGGAATCGAAACTTCAGTGATATTCCACTACTTTGTATTTTTCAACCACGAAATATCTGTTGGCCTCCGGCTACACAGTTTTACAAAAATCAACCGATTTATCATAAGGCTTGTTTTTAAATTTTTATTTATATTATCTTTTGATTTGATTTTCCATAAACATGGAAATTCATGATATTTCTCTAAAAAGTTACTTATGAAGACCTTTTTCAAATAACTTGAGTTATTCATTCTATAGAGAAAAAGTATTAATCAAATAATAATATTAATTCATTAATAACGAAATAATTAATTACACATATTCGTCGACGAAAACACCGTGTAAAAGTGACAGGAAACGATTGACACGCGCGATAGTACTGTAGGTAAACTTTTAATTTATTTAAACTGTTAAACACGCATGTGTAATTTCACATTTAAGTTGTGCACGAAAAAACGCTCGTCCA